TACCAGGTCGTCACTCCATCACGTGGGGGGTCGCCCTACACTTCGCCTACCGGTACGAGGCTACCACTCAAGAACCTTTCTTCCCCATCGGTTGTCGGTTCTTCGAGCTATGTGGGCGGCCCAGTGCCACTTCAGCTTACTAATCCGTTGGGCTATGTCAGTTACTCTGGTTCTACTGCGGATATACTCATTTCTAAGTTTATCACACAGAGAAAAACCCGAGCATAGCCCTCTCCATAGCTCGCTGAGTGACCTTGAGCTTCCTCATACGGCCAGCAGTGAAGGACCACGTCTCAGATCCGTAAGTCATCACTGGCAACACGCACTGGTTGTACAATTTCGTTTTAAGGTTTTGAGGTATGTCTGACGAGAAGATGTGTCGTAGTTTCCCGAACGCTGCCCAGCCGAGTTGAATCCGTCGATTGACCTCTCGGTTGAAGTTGGACTTACCTAGTTGGACTATTTGTTCCAGGTGAACATACTCGTCAATACGTCAACGGCTTGTTCGGGAGGCTGAAAGTCGTCAAGTCTGCGTGCGAGACGATTCATAATGACTCTCGAAAACAGCACGTAGACGCAGCTCAGAAGGGAAATCGGTCTGTAGTTCTTCAAGAGAGCGTTGTCACTTTTCTTGAAGAACAAGACCACCGCACTTCTGCTCCACGCCTCCGGTGTAATGCCACCATGGAGGACGGAAGTAAAGAGCTTCTGAAGGACTACAAGTACCGGTCTTCCACCCGCTTTCAGAAGCTCCGTTGTAATTCCATCCTCGCATGGGGCCTTGCCGTTTTTAAGGTGCTGGAGAGCCATTCTTATCTCGCTCAGACTGACATCAAGGATATCTTCGGAATAGTGTCGGATAAGACTCGCTCTTGGATCGTTACTCACACTTGCGTGTGACTCCAGCGATGACGTGTACAGCTGCCAATAGAACCTCTCAATCTCACTCAAAATCTCAGGTGTCCCGGAAACGATGCTGCCGCATTCGGTCTTCAGCTTTGACAGTTGGCTCTTTCTGGCAGACAGATCTCTGGCAAAGACTTTGGAGCCTTGGTTCGGATCGCTTCTTCAATACAAGCTGTATTGAAGTTGCGTAAGTCCCGCCGCATGCATATGGAGATCTGTCGGTTCAGTTGCCTGTATGCTGTCAAATCTGTTGAAGAATGTAGCTTCATCTCAGGAGATGAAGCTATGGGTCTAACAGCCATTAGATCGAGAGTGTGATCGGAGAGTTCGGTTTAATGATCTTTATTTACTCATTAAGACAAATACATGTCACTTACATGAGTACATTATACAATTTTAAATAAGTCACACAGAACAAAATAATAACAAAAAAAAAAAGTGAACATAAATTAGGGTAGATTAAAATTAAATATAAATACAAGTAGCAAGTTAGCTGCGTAGAAGCAATGTTTTAAGTACTGACTATATAAGGCGGTGGTCCAAGTTATAAAATGTTTTGGTTTTTAATGTAGTCTAATAGTTTTTTTTTTGAATATATTGAGCGAACTTGCATCTTTTATATTTGAAGGGAGTTTATTATACATCTGTGCTCCTGCAAATGTTACGGCATTTCTTCCAAAGTTCGTGCGAATATTTGGTAATATAAGATGATTTGCGCGGCGTGATGAGTATTTTAGTGTTTTTCCTTTTGTGGTGAACGTTATATTTGAATGGATCATATTACGCGTGATTTTATATATTAATATACAAGTGTTAAAGATGTATAATTGTTTAATGTTTAAGAATTTTGTTTCATGGTATATTTTTTTAGTCGATGTTAAAAAGTCGTAATGATATAAAATTTTAATTAATTTATTTTGCAGTACTTGTAGCTTTTGGAGATAAGTTTTGCCTGCTGTACCCCATATCTCTATTAAGTAAAGTAAGTGTGGTTTTACCAACGCGTTATAGATCATAGGGCGAGCTTTTGCTGGTATACATCGAGCCATACCGTATATAGAACCTATTAGAGATGAAAGCTTATTTTTTATAACTGATAAATGACCATTCCATGACAGATGTTTATCAAGAAATAGTCCAAGGTATTTTTCTTGATTAGATTGGCGTAGCATTTCTCCATTTATGTGTAATTTTGTGTGGTGTTGGATTTTTTTGTTTTTTGCACTAAATACTAAGTAAGATGTTTTGGCGGTATTTATTGTTAATAGGTTGTACTGAAACCATCTGTGTAGTGTGTCAAGATCTTGTTGAGCAAGCAAAGTAATGTCATCTATATTTTGTCCAAAGTAGAACAAACATGTGTCGTCTGCATACAAAGTGAGATGGCCGTGTAACCCTACTTCACAAATATTGTTGACATACACTAAGAACAATAGCGGACCAAGAATTGAACCTTGTGGTACTCCACAGTTTATAGGTAGGGGACTGCTTTGATAATTTCCAATCCTTACAACCTGGTATCTATTTTCAAGGTAAGATTTTAACATCTTGAGTGCCGTGTCTGTCACACCAATACTTTCTAACTTTTTTAGTAGCAACGAGTGACTCACTGTGTCAAAGGCCTTTTTTAAGTCAATGAACACACCCAGTGCTAGCTGTTTTTGGTCTATTTTAGTTTTTATTTTAGTAGTTAAGTCAATAGCTGCACTGAGAGTACTCGATTTTGAACGGAAGCCATATTGTTGATCACACAAAAAAATTATTTCAGTCAAGTGGTCATTCAGTCGTTTGTAAATTACTTTCTCCAGGATTTTTGAAAGCACTGGCAAAACTGAGACAGGCCGATAGTTTCCTGGATCCGTTTTTATACCAGATTTATAGATCGGATTGACCTTAGCTACTTTAAGACTATCTGGGAATATACCTTGTACCAGTAATTTATTAAGACAGCTAGTGAGATTAGAAATAATTAGATTTTTTACACACTTTATTGATTTTGTACTAATGGAGTCAATTCCTGTGCTAGTGTTAGTTTCCAGACCATCGACAATATTAGCTATCTCATTTTTATCACATTGTTTGAAGACTGACAATTTGAATTGGATTGTATCAGATTTTAGTTTTGGCAATGTGTGTGTTTCGTTGTTATGATAATGGGACGGTATTTTGTTTGCAAGTTGCGTACCAATATTTGAGAAAAACTTATTGAATAACTCACAAACAGCTACAGGATCTTTAATGACAAGGCCGTTATCCGTTTTAAGATTTGGGGGAGCACAGCTTACAATAGGTTTATTCTTAGAAAGTGTATTTATAAGTTTCCACATCTTTTTAGGTTTACTTATACATTTTTCAAACTCTCTGTAATAATATCTGCTCTTTGAAGTTTTGATAAGTCTCGCCACTTTTGTCTTTTCATCAATATATTCTGATTTTAGTTCGTTATTCTCTGGGTCTTGCTTTAGTTTACATGACAATTGATTTCTTTTTTTAATCCCCATTATGATTTTTTTATTAATCCATTCTTTTTGAGGTAGATTGACAATTTTAGATTTTATTTCTTTACTTTCTGATATTTTTTTCTTTATAAATTCTTCTAGAGTGCCAAAATTACAGTCATTATTTTGGAGCTTATGATCTCTAGTTCGCTTATATAAAATTTCATAGTTAACAGCTTCATATCGTACCTTTTGCGTTTGTGGTGGTTTCACTTTTTTTCATTTCAACGTAAATATTTTTATGATCTGAAAATGAAGATTCAATGATAGCCATATGAAATTTTTGGTTGTTGAGATTTGTAGCAACATGATCTATAATAGTTGTCGACGTTGGTGACACACGAGTGCTGTGTAGTACTTCAATTTTGTTAATTAATTTGAAACCAGTTTCCTTCAGTAAATCATTATACAACGTGGTCTTAGTATCAGATACCAAAAGATCTATATTTGTATCGCCAAAGACAATCGCTCTTTTTTTTGCTGCAGTTGCAGTTGATATGTGTTGAGAAAATTGTTAAGATTCGTGTGACCTGGTTTGTACACAATTCCTACATCAAGTGCATATTTTTCAAGATGTATCCACAAGTAGTTGTTTCCGCCAGTGTAAGATTCCATACTTAGGTCATGCTTTAGATTATTATGCACAAAGATGGATACTCCGCCTCCGATGACATCCGATCGAATGTTGTAGTAGTGTGAATAGTTCGTTATTTGAAATCGTGCCACTTGGTCATCTGATCTTATCCAGGTCTCAGTCAGTAATATTATATGTATGGTTTTATTAAAAGCTTCGATAATGCACATGAGTTCATCAAATTTACCTGGTTTACAAATACTTCTGGCATTAGCATAAAAGAAATTAAGGTTAGATTTATTAGAGGTGACGTTTTGATAACAATCAACTACTTGGTATGTAATATCTTCTATATCTTGATTATTTAATGGATGTTGGTAGAGGAGCTCTTGTCGTTTTTTGATTCCAATTTAACGATTTTCGGTACTCCTCTGATGTACTTAATTGTGATATCATTCTCATGATTAGATACTCTTCGTGCTAGTTCTTCTTTCAAATTTTGTAAATATTTCTGTTGGGCTGGAGTTTGATCAGAAAAGATCTTAATATTGCCTTGCAGTTTTCCCCTATTACGTAACAGCATTTTGACTGTTTCTGAAGAATCAAAGCAGACTTTGATGTTGCGAATCTTGAGTGCGTTGAACTTGCCTATGCGGAATATTTTAACAGGTTGAGGGCAATCTGCGATCAAACTCCTGATTATAGCAACTACTTCTGTCATATCATGGGAATAGGCTTCATTTGTGTTTGCGTATTTATACTCTCTTACACCAACAACAACAATATTTTTTTCTCGAACCATACGTTCTCTCATTTGTTGCATTAATTTTTCTTCCCTGTTCGTATCTATATTAAATTCTTTGATTTTGGCCATTTCTGTTTCCAGTTTAAGAATGCTGGTATCAGAACTATCAGCTTTTTTAATCAAATTTGAGACTTGGGATTTTAGTACAATCTGTTCATTGCTAAGTTTATCCGTAGATAATTTTATTTCATTTAGTTTAGAATTAACTTCCACTAAATTATTGCGCATGAAATCTAATGTTTCTTCCTGTGCCTTTGTGAATTTGGTCAGTAATGACATAATTTCCTTTCGAAACTCTTGTATCTCTTGAGAGTTTTTGTGTTCTTCTGCGGCGGGTCTTGCAGAACTTAGCTCCGACCGCATGGACAGTTTCCACGAGCTTGTCATTCATATCGTCCACTTCATTGCAGTCTTCTAGGCACTGGAAATGGTTTTGTCACTCGAGCTGAAAGGTTTCGGGACTTTGGAACAGAGTACGAGGGGGACGGAGCGTTGACTTCATTAGACGAGACCTCTCCAACTTAACGTTTAGGTTCAGTGTGCCTCTGACCATTCGGTGATCGCTACCAGTTTTCACCCTCGCTATCACGGAGACATCACTAAACAGTTGTCTTCTGGTCGCCATAATGAAGTCAATCTCATTTTTTGTGGAACCGTCGGGGCTCGACCAGGTCCACTTCCAGTGGGGCCGCTTCTGGAAGAAAGAGTTCATCATAAAGAGTCCCTCTTTCTCCATGAAGTCGGCCAGCTGCTGGCCCCTTGGGTTCCGTTGCCCTATTCCAAATTTCTCTACTTTCAGCTCACCGTTCTCTCTTGTGCCTAGTTTTGCATTGAAGTGTCCCATTAACACCGTATATTGGGTTTTGCAGGAATGCATGGCTCGAGAGATATCCTCATACATTTCCTCCACCTCCTCATCGGGGTGTGCCGAGTTTGGTGCGTAAACCTGTATGACCTTCAGCGAATACCGTTTGGTAACTCTGAGTATTAGGTACGCAGCCCTCGTCGACACACTCTCAATCTTTACAACGTTGTTAACGAGAGACTTGTGGACGGTAAATCCGACAATTTCTTGGGACAGATGGTCCCCTCCCGGTGATAGAGCAAGTTGCCGGATTCGAGGATTGCCGTGTCCTCCACCTCTCTTCGGACTTCGGATAATCCTATAATATGCCAGCGTAACTTGTCTATCTCTACTTCCAGCTCCACGATCTTCTCGTCAGTCCTCAGGGTGCGTGCGTTGTATGTTGCCAGGTCGAGTCGTCTTAGGTGGCAACCGAACCTCCACCGGAGATTCTTAGCACCCCCTGCCCCGTCGTTACCATGGTCGCCACCGTAGCCAGGAATAGCGGGGCCGCCGGGGACTGTGGGCCGTTTCTTTGTTACTCTCGTCATAGGGAGGTATTTGCCATAGTTGCCACTCTTGGCGAGCGGGTTGGCAACCGCAGTTTTTTTATTGCATGTTTGTTGTTATCAGGAAGATGCTGCTGTCCATCTCCTGCCTGTTTCCCTTTGTCGCCTTTTACGACACCCACGGGAAGATATGGGGTAGTGGATATTCTTAACCGCCACTACACGGCACAAAGGGATTATAAATAGGTCAATATATTCCAGGTGTTAGGGCTTCTTTTCTGGAGTCCTAGAAGTCAGTTTGAGTTACTATTTATTACGTTTTTACCTATTTCTCCCACCAATATAATTGATGATAATGATAATGTTCGATTTTCGAACATGACGACGACGTCGAAAAAATAGGAAGCAATTGTCTACGCAGGAGAAATTAGTTTCTGATTATTTTAGATAGCTTATTTCATAGTCACAGTTGTATGTCTAGCACACAGGTATAGGTTTTTGTCATCATAGATCATACGTAGCGAGAATAATTAGTTCATAATATTTTACTTAGATTGTATTGTTAATTATATCGACGATAATTTTTTTAGGATTTGTCATTTATTTTGCATAATATGTGCTAATTTAACATAATATTGCACAATATTATATCATAATTACATTTTAATATTTTTTGAACGTAACGTTGAACGTAAAATAACACCTTTCTGTTTGCGTCGGGGGTTACTATAGTATGCGTTTGGTGGTAATGGTATAAATAATTTTATCGTTATTATATTTGTAATGCTATTGATCTGATAATTATTCTTAGTATATAAAAACGTTTACTAAAACTTATTAAATATATTATTTTTGATTACAACGTCAACAGTGTCACACGTAATTCAGAAGTTAATCTATAATTTTACCGAAACATGGCCGCGAGCGCGTTGAAGTGTCGCCACGAATGACAATTAATAAATATAATTAAATTTCCTCAATTTATTTTGTCGTGTGGTTTACGCAGCACCTCAGTGCGCATGAAGGCATTTTAATTAGGCTTATGTTTGTTATCAAATTAGTCACGTGGCAGCAAGCGCCTGGCACAGAATAATTGTGTTTGAGCCCGTGAACTCTAACACGTATTGCAAATAGACAAGTCTTATTGGTGTATGTTCTAGTACGTAGTACATAGTTCTGTAATGTTTCGATCCCCAACTACTATTGTTAATTCTACCCTATAAATGCCAGTATGAATTAAATATAAGTAAAGTTCATTTTTAATGTCTCATCATTACAGCCTTTCACAAGTCCACTGCTGAACATAGGCCCCAAGGAATTCCTTGGGGGGTCCCAAGGAATGCCACAAAGCACGGTTCTGAGCCACCTGCATCCATCGACGTCCTGCATGTCTTACCAGGTCGTCACTCCATCTCGTGGGAGGTCGCGCTACACTTCGCCTACCGGTACGAGGCTGCCTAAGAACCCTGCTGCTTAAGAACCTTTCTTCCCCATCGGTTATTGGTTCTTCGAGCTATATGGCCGACCCACTGCCACTTCAGCTTACTAATCCGTTGGGTTATGTCGGTTACTATGGTTTTACTGCGGATATCCTCATTTCTAAGTTTATCACGCAGAGAAATCCCGAGCATAGCCCTCTCCATAGCTCGTTGAGCGACCTTGAGCTTCCTGATACGGCCAGCAGTGAAGGACCACGTCTCAGATCCGTAAGTCATGACTGGCAACACGCACTGGTTGTACAATTTCGTTTTAAGGTTTTGAGGTATGTCTAACGAGAAGATGTGTCGTAGATTCCCAAACGCTGCCCAGCCGAGTTGAATCCGTCGATTGACCTCTCGCTCGAAATTGGACTTACATAGTCGGACTATTATTACACCACAATAATCGTACACAATTTATTGTTAGTGAATAAAGACATTGATTGATATTTGTCCCAGGTAAACATACTTGTCAACAACTTCGAGCTTAATGCTCCCAACAACTACCGGCATAGGTGTGACATGGACGTTAAACATGATTTTTGTTTTATCTATGTTCATCTTAAGACCTATCCGTTGGGAGACACTATTCACGTCATTGAGCATAGTGCTCAGGTCCTCCAGCGATTTTGCCATAAGGACTATATCGTCGGCAAATCGAAGATGAGTGATGTACTCGCCATTTGTGTTGATACCGTATCCTTTCCAGTCCACCAGCTTGAAAACATCTTACAATGCAGCGGTGAAGAGTTTCGGGGATATAACGTCACCCTGTCTTACACCTCTTTGCAGTTGGATAGGTTTCGTACTTTGCTTCTGTATTCAGATAGCCATCGTAGCTCTATTGTACAAACACTTTAGCACTTCGATATACCCACAGTGAACTTGGCACCACTGAAGAGACTGAAGCACCGCCCAAATTTCGACGGAATCAAAGGCTTTCTCATAGTCCACATACGCAAGGCAAAGTGGCAGATTATACTCCTAAGTCTTCTGTATAATTTGCCGGAAGGTGTGTATGTGGTCTATGGTACTAAAGCCTTTTCGGAAACCTCTCAATCTCACTCAAAATCTCAGGTGTCGAAGATAAATCCGACACCTCTCTCTCCCGGTGATAGAGCAAGTTACCGGATTCGAGGATTACCGTGTCCTCCCACTCTTTTCGGACCTCGGATAGTCCTATAATGTGCCAGCGTAACTTGTCTATCTCTTCTTCCAGCTCCACGATCTTCTCGTCAGTCCTCATGGTGCATGCGTCATATGTTGCCAGGTCGGGTCGTCTTAGGTGGCAACCGAACCTCCACCGGAGATTCTTAGCACCCCCTGCCCCGCCGTTACCATGGTCGCCACCGTAGCCAGGAATAGCGGGGCCGCCGGTGACTGTGGGCCGTTTCTTTTTTACTCTCGTCATTGGGGGGTATTTGCCATAGTTGCCACGCTTGGCGAGCGGGTTGGCAACCGCAGTTTTTTTATTCTAATTTTGCTGTTATCAGGAAGTTTTATTGTATGTTTGTTGTTATCAGGAAGATGCTGCTGCCCATCTGTCTGTTTCCGTCTATCGCCTTTTACGACACCCACGGGAAGATATGGGGTAGTGGATATTCTTAACCGCCACTACACGGCATAGATTTTATAGGCATAGATTTTACTAACTATAAAATGAGAATACGAATGAATAGAGTAATTTACATAATTAAAAGTTGTCTAAGAAATTATAAAAAAACTAGCTGATCAGGCAGACGTTGTTATTCCCTTTCCGAACGACCAGTTTCTTTTCAAAAAAAATTGAGGGGCACTTATCGGGATAAAAACTATCCTATCTCTCAAGTTGGACCAAACTGCACACAGTGTGCAAAATTTCATTGAAATCAATTCAGTAGTTTTACAGTTCATCGCGGACAAACAATGTGACACGTAATTTTTATATATTAAGATATATTATGCAAATATTAATAGCAAATAGCTTATTGTGTTTTTAGCTTTTAGCTTACTGTGTGGTTGCTTAGTGACGAATTCCTTCACCATATTTTATTCGTGGATGTCGTAGGAGGCAACTATGGGAAATGTTAAAAATATCTTATGGCTTCCGATAGATGGCAGCATAACCATTCCGTTTACGTAAGACTTAATACCCCATTTAGACTCTCGCCTCGCGCCTCGCCTCATACCTCGCCTCGTACTTCGCCTCGCAGCTCGCCTCGCAGCTCGCGTGTTGTTGCGAGGTAACGAGTGCCTGTTTACACTCTCGTGATGCGTTCAGTTTGCGTTGAACCAGCAACGATGGAAGACGTCGAAATAATAGCGGCATCAACTCTTGCCTTAATAAATATTTATCGATGCTTGACCATTTTAAAAAGAAGGAAATTAAAAAATTTCTTAGATTTTTTCAAAGATTTCATAGATTGCTTTTTTCTTCGTATGTGTTGACGAAAGGTAGCCATAAGCGAATTCTTTTTTACTTTGAGCTCTGCTAGCGGTCTGCGGCTCTGGTAGCA